ACATGTTTCCAATTTAGTTGACGATATGGCCTGATGCATGTCCAGTATATAGTATGCATGTATACTCATGTTCAGTGTCAATCGCATACATGCAGTGTCAGTATTGGTCAAGATATATCCAATTTTGGTATCATGTCAAATACTAGTGGTAAGTATAAACTGTATATTTTTTTGTAATTTCATGACAATACATGCATGCATCGTACATACCAATGCAATATCCATATACTGTAGCAGTTTCATGCAACTAGTGTCAGTATTGGTCAAGATATTCGACATCAAACACGTCAAAACGACACTTTCGGACATGCACTTGATGGTGATGATACACATTGATATATTGCCCCAATGACGACGTAACCATATACACAATACATGACTATATGTGTACCATACATTGCAGTTGATTTCGACATTGTATGACCACTGTAGACCGAGTTATTAACACGCCAAACATCGACTATAATATCCAACCTACAAAACGTCAGCTATTTAATTATTGTGTTATCAAACATGCATGGATTGTATTGAAATTGCACATGATACAATACCAAGTGTATACAAGTATTGTCATGTCACCATATCAACACAGGCTTGCGTATTGGTTGTGAAATCGACCATTTAGTACGCGATTGTGATGATGCAAATGGTCCACTTTGAACGCATATAACTTGGCCAATAGCAGTTATTTACCAACCATATTTAAACTGGTTGTGTATATAGTATATCACCATTGATTGAGCATGCATATGCACGGTTTGCAGACATTTATAATTCGTGTTGAATGTGTTGTATGTGACCATTTGAAACTCGACTAATTGTGGTGTATTTTGACATGTATATTGACTGATGTTTAGCGTCTGTTCATGTGTCATTGATGCACCATTGACATGCTGTATTGTCCAACATTATGTCGTGATGTTGCAATCAACAAATTGGTGCAACACTGAATGTATGTGGTGATTGTCGAGTATCGAGTTCATCTAGTTGTTTCTTGGTGTTTTCAATATCTATAAGCATCTTGTTCATAATTCCAAGGTATGTGTGTCAATGGTCTTGTTGCTCATAATGTGTATTTGCTACTAGGTTTTCGACTGTTGGTAGTGTTGCTCGTGGACATATGACGACATATTGATGTTGTATATAGTTTGGAGGAATATCACAAAAGTCAAAGATAAGCGTGAAAAAATGAACCAATATGTTGATTGTGTTGTTTATTAAGAGTAAAAGGTTGACCCTTTTATAAAAATAATATGACAGTTATGCGTATCCGTGATTTAAACAACATAACTGATAAACTCCCTTGTTACCCTATAGTTATTGCATAAAAGGTGACGATAGTCATTGCATCAAACAGTTATGCGTTGCGTATGGATCTTGATTCGTTTTATATTAATTGCCTAATATGTCTCACATTACCAATGTCCAACATTTTCAGGTACAACTACTTGATCAGTTGTAGTTATGGTTTCCTTCTGCGAATAAATGTGCCACTTGAACCTGAAGTACTTGGTTGTTCAGGCAATCTAACACTATGCATCAAATTGGTGATCAATATATCAATTGACACATCAATATCAATATCAAACAACTTACTGTGGTAATGGCCAGAGCACTCGATAACTGTTTGAAATAGTAGGATATTTGCTAGTCGCGACTTCGCATCCACATCCAGGACCAAACCCAATGCGTGTATGTGCTCGATCAAATGTCAATCCAAGTCGGGTCATAAATGGAATACCAAGAATTGCATTGTCATTTGGACCAGCTTTTATAGCAAACGCAACTATAATCCAACATGTACATTAGTCAGGTTAATCAAACAACACATTGCATACAATTGTCAAATACTTGCAATTTTTAGAATCAACTCTCTGTATATAATCTTTGGGGCCCAATTTGATTGTTACAACGGAATTGCAATTGGCATCAGTTACGGGGGTTTGAGCAAACATTGTAATTGAAAGCGTTGGCAGCTTGCCCCAATCGATATCAAAACCGGATTCAAGCATTGCGTAGTTTTGCGAAAATATTCTTTTAACCATTACTTTTCCGAGTTTGTCACTAAATATATTAATGTTGACAGTGATCGCACCACTATCAAGAATAGCATTGATCAGCACATCCACGACTGCTTCAGGAAAACGCATATGTAAAAGCATGTTTCCACACTCGAGTACAAAATACGTCCATTTTCCATTATTGTTTTTTGGAATTCCTCGGGCAGATCCACTGGTTCGTCATTGACTAGTATACTCTTGATGTTGACAGTATGGCGACCGTCTGGTGGTGAGTCTACCCATGCAACACTCCTTCCATCCGTTCCGCATTTTGCAGTTACGTCCGTGTTTCCTATATTGATGAAGCTATTTGAAGTCATTTCATACGGACATAGTTGAAGACCAATCTCGTTATTGGGAATGACACCACCATTGTACAAAGCATCCATTGCAGTGGTTTGTGAGTGATGATTTGATAACGAGGTATAGCCAAACCCAAATATTCCATCAAGATTTGGATTGATACCAACTAGATCTGGTGATTGTTTTTGAACTGATATTACTGGTAAATTGATGTCAGTTATACTAGTACCCGGAATCGTCACAGCTGCATTGGAACTAAACCCATTATACTCATCGCCTTTGTAATCTATAGTAACGGGTTCCCCACTTGGAGTGTGTTGCGGAGTCAAACCTACATCTCTGCTTGAACTAGGAAGTGGTACGATTGTATCAGACATTGTTGAATCGACTTGTAAATTCAACTATTTTAAACAAGTGTGAGATTGATTCAACGTGGTGCAAATTGATATCAAACTACAATCCATGACATGATACATACATCAACTCCATCAACATTGACTTTAATTGTGTAACATTTTGTGATATCACCACCCAATTCAACGGGTGATCGTTTTGACAGTCTATTGTTTGATTGACTGGCACTTTCAAAAGGTGATTCTAATGCAAGTCGAACTGCAGAAACCGCTTGCAACGCAAGTATAACGCATTCTAGAGTAATCAACATTGTATCGAGTAATGTGATGAAAGTGGGTTGAATCTGGTACATGACTGCCATTTTATAACAACGGCAGTTTCAAGGGTGACAATCGACACTTTCCAAATGGGTATTTAGAAAACGCCAAATACACCCTGTAGGGTCAACAAAGCCGAAAACACACCGTAGGGTGAATCAATATACAAGAATTGTTGTTGGTGTATAATCAACCTCACTAGTATGCTGTGTCGATCTCTTCGATTGCGGTCATGTATCCAGTGATCAGATAGTATCAAATTGTCACCCTGATTACTGGATAGTTATCATCACATATACAATCCATTACTACAACATATACTGTCACTGTATACCAAATATTTGACTGATTGTTCAATTGGTCATGTATTTGATTTGTCCGAGTGACTCAAACCATGTCAAAATGATTGTTGAAATATAAATATATATCATCCAAAGTTGATTCATATTGTCGCTAGCTGTAATCTGTTGATCTGCCAATGTGTGACCATGTGTCAATGCACACAGTAAACTTGAAACCAACTTGCATAGTTGTCAATGTTCAAATCAAAACCGCAAAGTTTCATTCTATTTATCATTGTTCATGGCTCACGGATAGCTGATCAGTAAATCACATTCGACATGATTGACATGATTGTTTTGTTGGACATATTTCAGTAGATTTGGTTAGTTACGATTTCAATCAATTCAACAGCTTTGGAAATAACAGTGGTAGCGTAGTAAATGGTTTTAATAGCAACAATTCATATCGATTTTGCAAGATTTATATTTTTGATGTAGAAAATCATGGTTTGTAACAACTATTTGTTGTGTATACATCATAAACTATCAACCATTTGCTCATGCATCAACACCAATGTACAGTGTGACATGGTATGTTGAATATATTCAATGTTGATTCAATATTCCCAAT